CATGAAGAAAACATGACAGAAAATGAATACTTCTATAATGATAGAATTAAAAATATCTTATTATTATTTCATGTCAAATAGACATTTCTTCCAAATCAAAGTGTCACATATAAATTCTATTAATCCAGTAATTTTTAATTTAGCTATATTACATCAAACAGATTCTATCGTTTTCCATAGTATGATCTCTGTATTACAGATGTGGAACATTCTATTCTTATTCTTTTTTTTTAATAATGAGTTATGTGTGTCATTATTAATATAGAATAACATGAATATCTTTGTGTTATTCAAATATATTAATAAGAGAATTAGCAAATTGTAATCATTGATAATCTATATCATAATCAAATTGAAAGTTTATCTTATTCTCTATCAATAGATTATATTTCAATATGATGTAATCGAATAGTTATTTTATTTAATAAGAGAATTCTTTCAAGTGATAATATCCGTTCAAGTTCATATTTTTTTCTCATAGATAGAATACATAGTACACTTAAAAATCCAAGAAAAATACACATTATTACGAACTCATCATATATATCTCTTGTAATTTGAAGCAATCTAAACATGATTCCTTATTATCTAGTTTAAAAATGCATATAGAATATGTAAATAAAGTGAATATGATTAGTCTCTATTACATTTCAAAATAAAATCAATTGTATCTTTCTTTCCTATTCTATGATTTATGCAAAAACTAATTAGAAATATTCTTGTAGATTGTTAGTATAGATTCAAAAATCGAATATACCTTTTAAGCCAAAGAAGTGAATCAGTTGCGGAATTTTTTTCTTTTATTGTTTTTGATATTATTTCATCATTAACAATTGAATATAAAGTTTGATATTTACTCGGATCATTACTTATTTTTCTTCTTAATTTCTATAAAAATTATATATTAATAATAAATTTATTCATAAAAAGAAAAAAGTATTTTTAACCTACACTAATATTACCATTAGCATCTGCACGTAATGGAGTAAATGTTGTACTATTAAATTTATCTATTAAATTCGAATTATTTTTACATTAATTTTAATATAGAAATGTTTTTTTACCAATAAGAGTAAGATATTGTTCACAGATAGAAAGAAAAAGTTCAGAATGTATTTCATGAAATGCTAAACAACTTAATTGTGCGAATCTATAAAATACAAAAATAAAACGATTTTGTATATTATAAATATGGATAGATTATATTTTAAATTACGTATTAGGAATTTGAGAAAAAAATGTTTTATAAATAATTTGTTTTGGTAAAATTGTTGTTGCTATTGAATTTACAGATCTATGAAAATAGAATAAATAGAAAATAATATCAATTAATATATATATATATACTTAGTTGGTTCATGTTCAGTAAATGACTGTCGATTAGTTGAGATTCTATTTGAAAGTTTTCGTGGAGATGGAGAAAGTAAAAGTAAAGATTGAGATGAATCACCAGTCGCTAATTTAACACATTCGTCAAGTGTATGAATGAATGCATCACATGTTATATTTAACATTGATGATGATTCATCTAATTTCTTCAAAACAAAAACGAAAATTTTATTTCAATACATCTATATAATATCAACAAATATACTGTAACATCAGGTATTGGTGTATCATTTGCTATAGATTTAATAGCATGAACACGTTGTGTAAGAACTGTTTCATAGAGACGTAATTCTTGTACTTTTAGTTTTATTTCTTGATCAATTGCTGATAAATGTGTAGCTAAAAAAGAGAAAATCATATTCAATAAACCAACAAAAAAACGAAATTTTATTTATTTACCTAATGTTGATGATGTATTATTATTATTATTGTTATTATTATTAATTGGAATTGATGTTGTAGATTTTGTTCCTCTTGATTTATGTGTTCCTAAAGCAACAAGCCAACGTTGTCGTTCAGGTTGTGATTTAGCTTTTAAACAAAAAAATTGTTCGCCAGGAATAATTAAATCAAAACGAAATGGATCATGTGGAGGAACTAAATTTACAAAAAAACAAGTTTTATTTATTAATTAATTAGTTAAATAAATAATTTAACCTTTCACTTCACAGGCAAGTACTAAACATGAACCTTTACATCCTTCATGAATCAATTCACTTGATTTATAATATGAAAGAACACCTGTTTCATCTAATACAAAATACCGAGGTTGCCATCCTATGATAAAACAAATAAAATTCTATTCGAAATATTTATTTAAGATTTTCTTACCATTATAATAATTCGTCCATTTATAAAGTATACCCTCCATGTAAATTCATTTATCTAGAATAGAATTTTCAATTGAAAATATTTCATTGAAAATATATCAGATGTAAAAATAATATTATGTTATACGACATTAGTCGAATTATGAAGCGGAACATTCAATAAGATTTTTTACTAGACAGAAAGTTTTACTTTTTATTTTAGATTTTTTAAATAAAAAGTATTTGTATTAAGATAGTACAAATTCATCGATACTTCATCTATGTGATCAATTATTTTTCTTATGAAAACCAATTATAGTCGAAGAATATGTACGTGTCTCTCAATAGAGCACGATTGTTTGTCGCTGACGATGATTGTTCTATAATTTTATAGTGAAGTAATAAAACATACTCAATATATTCGTTTAGGAATATTTTTGTCAATAATTAAAAGTATCTAGAATAGAATAAATTAAGAATAATCGATGTATTTGTTATTTTTTGAATAAAATATCTCTAAAATGAAACAGTATAGACATTTTCGAGAGACAGAGAGATTTAGATTTGTATAGTGACAGTTCGGCTTAGTATCGCATAGCGCGCGTCGGAATGAGTCATCGATGAATACAGAGGGAAACGAAAAAATAATTATAGGATGATTTAAATGTCGAATTAAAACGTTTTTTTACAATTTTTCCTTCATGATTTTTAAAAATTTCTTTTTGAAGGATATAATACTCTGAAGAACTTTCATTCTAGAGTTTAATCATCGTAACATAGAGTGACATCGAGTTCTATCAATGAGAGTTGATGATTAATATCGAAAGCAGCGCCCTCTATCATCAAACAATCTTGTTGTAAAGTATACTTGTTCTCTTGAAAGAGACAACACTCAATTTAAATGAAGAAAAAAACTGATTTAAAGCAGTAGAAGTTGTCATACTTATAATTTCGATATAATTTAATTGTGATTAATTTATTAGTGATCAGAGATCGAGTCTGAAAGTCTATCAAAGTATCAATGATGAACAGCAATAACAGAATAGAAGTTTATGATGTAATTTATTGAGCGAAAGAAAAATAAGACAAGATAGTTTTTTTTCTGTTACATTGTAAATCAATTTATAACTTTTATGTTCATTAGTCTTCTGATTTCTATATGAGTTAATGAAGAAGAAAATGTCGTTGTAGTAATATTAAACAAAAAAGAGAGAATAATCACTACTTTAAACATGTTTAATACTTTATTGATACAATAAATAAAGATATGTGGAAGAAGTTACCAAGCATTCTTTATCTTTAATCTTAATATAAAACGGAAATATCTCGATATCTTTCACAATACAGTAATAGAAAGAATAGTAACAATACTTTAGAAAAAGACTTGTCTTACCTAAGAATCTTTTTTATTGAGACTAAAATCATTTAAATTCAACCAAAATATGAGACTGCGTTCTTACTCAATTATTCCGAAGTCATTTTGCATACAAACTGAAAGTAATTGCTTAGATATTCGATAAATAGAAATATTGTCAAACAATAAAATAGAAAGTATACATGTCATTTATTGTTTTTACTATCTTGGCAGAGATGATTTATGTAGTGTAGACAAGAAACTTGATAAATGATGTAATGTGACAGTATAGTATATCATTGACCCATAATTTCGCCAGTATTTTCATTGCACAGTGAATATATGTTAGCGATCGTAAGAGTGAAGAATATGATGATAAATTATTTTTAATACTACTACGTACACTTAGTATGAACGTATTTTGATAAAAAATAAATATTGAGTACCACTCTAAATTTATGACATGATTTCAATTTTATTATTAGTCTACCATTGTAGCTATAATGAAGAGTCTATACATTTATAATTAGTAAATTTATTTTAGATTTAAACCTTTGCAGTTTTTTCATAATTTCTTTCTAAAATATTTTCGATATAAATCATTTTTATTTTAGTTTGTACATCTTGTAATATTTAACTAATACAAATTGATAACTATTATACTTAGATCAAATGTTTCAGTCAATAAATAAATGAATATTGATCATTTTACAGAATATTTTTTAAGTTTAGAATTGATCTGTTAAAACAGAGATGTACAACTTGCGTTGTCAAACATCCCCTTTCTTAGAACTACTATATTCATTGAATTTTTATTGTTTTACTGTTATGTCTATTGCTATCAGTCGTATGACAATGATGATTTTATTTGGTTTCTGTGACCATCAAAAAAGAGTCATAAAAACGATAATTTATGATTCAAAAAGCAAACTGATGAAAAATCTTTACTTGATTTTTCTAATGAAAATATTCTTATTAAAAAAACGATGACGATGCAGTTATTGTTTGACGTGCAACAATTTATAAATAGAATAGCGAAGGTCGAAAGTGAATGTAGATTTGAATACACGTAGCATCCTACGTACTAACTATTCATTAAAAAATAAAAAAAATATATATAGATCTGTTATAATAGTTTGTTGTCATTTTTGTTCACATCCATACTATAATAGTCTCTATCATAATAAATAAACAAAAGCAAATTTCATATCATCCTTATTGTTATTCATATGTTCCAATGGATTATTTGTATACATCAAATTTCATGAGCGAAGTTAGAAGAAAAGAATAATGTAGTTTTGCTTTTATTCTCTTCCAACAAAATTTTCATTGAAATAAATGTAAAAGAAAAACTTTGATTGTAGCAATTTCAGTTATGATCGATTTATCGATGATTGTATGCTAACTTTAAAAATATGATATTATTTAGAAAAAGTCATTCGATGAATTAATTACGCATTATAATATGTTAAAGATGAACGATATATTAAGTTACAAGAAAAACAATGTCAAGTATGTAAAGTATTGACATAGATTTTAACTCTGTAAAATTTGAATGTGTGTAAAACGTATGATATTGTGAAATTAAAATATTCTATATTAACTTGACATTATTTGCATTGTAAAAATGTGTTATCCTGTAAAGAGTATAGATAATTAGATATGTATTTGGCGTTTTTTTTTT